GTTGGACTACACTTTCCTCAGAGCATAAAGACTATAAACCATAGCAACAAAACTGTGTGATTGCAATCTCTGCCTGACCATAATTTTTCCACCCCTGCAGTTTCGACTGGGGGAAGCAATGCACTACCTGGCAGGGTAGAAGGTGCCTGTATATCAGCCGCTGTGCAGTCCTAGCACTAGACACAGTGCCCTGGTTTTTCTTCACAGTTGTTTTCTTTTAAGCTTTCAGGGTTGGAGAAGCTGATTAAGCTTGAGTCCCTCAATATTGAATGCATCCTGATAACATACGTTCCTATCTCAGAGACACAATGGGTTTTCCTCACAGCCTTGCCTATGCTTGGGCTGCATAACAAAATTTGTTTAAAATCCACTTTCTTTTTGAATATTTTTCCTCTCACTTTAGTTATGATTCAAAAGTGTTAGTTTGCTGAATATATTTTTCCTTAGTCACACGGGACCATTCCAGATGGGCCGTTCCACTATCTGCGCTACTTTCACTCTTTCTATACAAGGCATTAAGAAAAGTGCACCCTGATGCTGGTTCTCTGATGTGAAGAGGGAGTGATCATTATACAGTTATTATAATATTTAGAGGTAATTTTCACAAGTTATCATCATTTTGGGCGTATCTAAAGACCAAAGCAATAGCCAATGGTCCTCTTTAAATAATGGGCTCTTTAAATGTACCCAGATGTCCCTTTTCAGCCTCAGCCATTCTGCGATTCTGTGATAACCTTTAGAATCAGAGAAATGTAGAATGCCTTGGGTTGGAAGGGGCCTTAAAGATAATCCAGTTCCAAATCCTTTGCTGAGGGCAGGGTTGTCATTCACCAGATCAGGCTCCACAGAAGCCTCTGATGGGGGCCAGCATATGCAAGCTCCCATTTCTCCAAGGGTTTTAACTTCCAGCTCTAAGACATACAACTCCTCTGCTTGTATTTAACTTGCCCTTTACCCTTAAACTTTGCCATGGCTGGGGCTTGAACATATGGCCTCCTTGTAAACTACCTTGAACCTGACCAAGGCGTTTCAACAAAAAGACTGCTTCTCTGCTGAACTGAAGGAACAGAAATCCTGTGTGAATGGAGTTAATACTTACTCAAATGTATACTCAAAGCGTTATAATAGGCATGACACACAACTAAGACTCAGGGTTTCACAGAAAAGCAGAATATCACAATTGTTGAATCAGAAAATGTATTTGCCCTGCAGCAAAAAGAAAAGGCCCAAGAAAATAGGCTAAGTCTGAAAACTGTAAACATCACTCCCTGAAAGATAGAAGAACAGTTACATAAGAAATAAACAATTGAGAAATGACTACCTCATTTCAAAAGAAAATCCAACCTATACAGAGCAAGATATCAAAGCTGCTAGTTGTGCTGAAAACCATGCTCTTTGGTGGAAAAGATGTACAAACCAGAACTCCCTTATGCTGAGAAAGAAAACAGTATCCACTGCGCTTTGGGTGAGTGTAGAAAGAACATTAAGCGATAATGAGTTGCTTACAGGAATGGCAAACAGAAGCAGAAGATGGAAGTGCTGGAAAGGTGGTAGCTTGCACATACCAGCCTGCTGCAGAGGCTCCTCACAAGAATGTGTGTAAAGAACAGGTAAGAGATCTAGAAGACAGGTGCAAAACAAGAGGTAAGGTAAAGAGGCAATACCTTTAATTGCCAACAGCATCATGAGAAGCCATAAGAGCTGACAAACATCCCAATATGTATTAAAAGAATGGATTATAAAGGAAAATCAGCGTAAAGGAAGAGTTCAAATGTAAGTAATAAATGTAATCCTGAGTAATTTTAAGAGAAAAGGCTTTGGCAGTCACAGTTAAAGAAAAACTACAATAACATAATGGCCTTGGTAGGTCTTTTTGTTTAACTGGGTGATCTTCTGAAGAACAACTTGAAAAGAAGCATACAGACCTAGGGATAGAACTGCTGATTTCACAAGTGTTCTATGAAGCTAATATAAGTAAGAGGAGGAATCTAGGAGGAAGGTACAAACTTTGAAGCAGTGGGGAAAGTAATGAAATGCTATCAGCACTTTAAGTACCAGTGGTTAACTATACAGCATATCAGTAGCTAAAGGCTGAACAGATTGTCGGTTAAGGCTGCGTGTACAAAGATTTAAGGTCTGAGAACAGTTTTACACTCCGTTGGATAAGGAACTGGCTGGAGGGCCGTGCTCAACGGGTGGTGGTCAATGGAGTGAAGTCCAGCTGGAGACCTGTTACAAGTGGTGTCCCCCAGGGGTCAGTACTGGGGCCCATCCTGTTTAATATCTTCATTGATGACTTAGATGAAGGGATTGAGTGTACCCTGAGTAAGTTTGCAGATGACACCAAGTTGGGAGGATGTGTCAATCTGCCTGAGGGCAGGGAGGCCCTGCAGAGGGATCTAGGTAAGCTGGATCGCTGGGCTGAGATGAATGGGATGAGGTTTAACAAGGCCAAGTGTCGGGTTCTGCACTTTGGCCACAACAACCCCAGGCAGCGTTACAGGCTTGGGGATGAGTGGTTGGATGATTGTGAAGAGGAAAGGGACCTTGGGGTGTTGGTTGATGCTCGGCTGAACATGAGCCGACAGTGTGCCCAAGTGGCCAAGAGGGCCAATGGCATCCTGGCCTGCATTAGAAATAGTGTGGCCAGCAGGAGCAGGGAGGTGATCATCCCCCTGTACTCAGCACTGGTGAGGCCGCACCTCGAGTACTGTGTTCAGTTTTGGGCCCCTCACTACAAGAAAGACATTGAGGCCCTGGAGCGTGTCCAGAGAAGGGCAACGAAACTGGTGAGGGGTCTGGAGCACAAGTCTTATGAGGAGCGGCTGAAGGAGCTGGGATTGTTCAGTCTGGAGAAGAGGAGGCTCAGGGGAGACCTCATTGCACTCTACAACTTCCTGAAGGGAGGTTGTGGTGCAAAAGGGTCTGGCCTCTTCTCCCAGGCAAATAGTAGGACCCGAGGAAATGGCAAGAAGTTATACCAGAGGAGGTTTAGGTTGCATATTAGGAGAAACTTTTTCTCTCAGAGGGTGGTCAGGCACTGGAATGGCCTGCCCAGGGAGGTGGTGGAGTCGCCATCCCTGGCAGTGTTCAAGAGGCGCCTGGATGAGGAGCTACGAGAGATGGTTTAGTAGCTTTTGGCACTGATAGGAATGGGAGGGTGGTTGGACTAGATGATCTTGCAGGTCGTTTCCAACCTTGTGTTTCTGTGATTCTGATTCTGTAATAATACAATATTATGATTTAGCCAGAAGAAATACTGAAGGAAAATCACATAGGTAAGTATTAGAGGATACTCATATCTCTTCAGTAACGATGCTTAACAAATATATTGTTTTGTTTCTAAGAATTAAGCCTATACAGGTACTCTTACAACTCATGAATTATATATAGTTAATTGCAAGGTGAGGCAAGGTGAAGCAAGGGAAGAGAAGGAAACAGCAAAATTGGTGTATAAATGTATCTGAATCAGTATTTAAGTATGTTAGCTGCTGATTACAACTAAAGTGTGAGGTTTGATACTCTACTTCAAAGAATGATGGAGATTTATGCAGAAACAAGTGATGGAAAATTATCCAGAAGGTGATTGAGTAAACTTCTTTGAAGAAAAATGTTCAAGCTTGTGGGACAAAGATTATTATTAACAATCATTGAACCACAGACTTGCTTGAGTTGGAAGGGACCCTTAAAGGCCATCGGGTCTACCCTCCCTGCAATGAACAGGAGCACCCACAGCTCCAACAGGTGCTCAGAGCCCCATCCAGCCTGACCTTGAGCGTCTCCAAGGATGGGACATCCACCGCCTCTCTGGACAGCCTGTTCCAATGCCTCACTACTCTTACTGTAAAAATTTTTTTCCTTATATCCAGTCTAAATGTCCACTGTTTTAGTTTGGAACTGTTTCCTTTTGTCCTATTAGCAGATGCTGCTGAGTCTGTCCCCTAATCTTGTGTTAATCTTAGTTCTCATGTGGTTAAGTTCTCTTCTCACTTGGTTAAGAACTGAGTAGGCAGTTAACGTCTGCTTGACAACATATGCAACTTTTGTATATGTATGTATACCTGTGTGTTTGTGCAAGCATGTACCTGCAAGCATTGGCCAAATGGGACCATCCAGGAACAGACATCAGAAGAGGCTGGTTGAAGAGCTGTCTATTGGCAGCCCAGGGTAGCAGTTCCCTAGATACTCCTCTTGCAGCCTAACCTCCAGGGCTGTGGCTCATCTTGCTTTTGGCAGCTCCTCTAACAGCATGCTGATGGCTCCAACCGCCTTCAAGCAGCCAGGGCCAAGCAGGGCACATCCCTGGCTAAGTAAAGCAGGAAGCTGGACTTGCGGCAATCTGTTTGGCTCTCAGATTTCACCAAAGCAAACAGAACCAGCTTGCCAGTTACCTTGACTTCAAGGGCCCCAGCAGAGGGCATTTGGGAAACTTCCAGAGAGAAGTGGGGGATCAGAGAGGAGACATTGCCAGCAGCTTGCCTTCATGCTGGGAGGTGTTTATGTACAGAAAATCATCCAAAAGAAATTATAGGAGTAAACATGACAGTGCCAGCAGCACGGCACTAGCAGGACTTCCTCAGGGATTAATGCGTCCCAGTACCAAGAACGTATCTCCCTTTTTCTCATGTGTTCTGTTGATTCTGTGGTTGTCCACGTGTGCTTTATCTCCCTCAAAGCAGAGCTACTTGTGAAAGTGTTTTCTCTGCAAACTGCTTAGGCGTATCTACCTGTAAAATGCAGATATATTTTACAAAAGGGTCTCTCCCTTTTGCTTGTGGGGCACTTTGTGCACATCTTCATCTCCACCCTAATCCCCCTCCACTGAATATCGCCACCAGAGCCAGGAACCACTCCTGACTAAAGATGAAGCAGTCTCACTTCACTAAGCATGTTGCTATTTCTAAGGTGTGACTCAGTGCTTTTCAGTTAGGTGTCATCACGTGCTATTTGCTGAGAAATAAAATCAACATTAATTAATTCTTCTCTCTTTTTTAATACAGGTTTTTGTTTCCTGCTCCAGATCACGGGTGATGTACACAAACAGCAGAGTTCACAAGCAGCAGAGTTTGGGGAGGCTGATCCTGGCTGTGTTTGCAGACCCGCTTCTTGCAGTATAGGCTTCATGGTCACAGACAACCACGGTCCTGGTAAAAGAATGGAAAACCAAACAATAGGAGGAATCTAGGAGAAAGGGAGGGAAAGGCTATGTTCTTTGTTTATGGCAAAGGATGAGGGAAATGTGAAACAAAACAAGGAGAAAAAGAACAGAGAAAGGATATAGAAAACCCATATGGGTGACCTAGTAGAAGTAAAGGAGCACAAAATTCTTCCTTTTGGGTGCAAACAGCATGGAAGACCTTCTACAGTACCTGCTCAGTGCTCAATCTCTTGTGCCCGTATCAACCAAGGGAATTATTCATTATTTTGTAGAGCACGTCCTTACTTTTCTTCTCTCTAGGTCAAAAAATGCCAAACCATAAACCTCTAGAGATGTTTATCCTTAGAAAGCGCTGCAGTGTTCTTTTACAATATATGAAATTGCAGTAATAAGAATAAATTATAGCACTCAGCATCGGACAGGATGACTGATGTAAGCTGTCAGCCAATGTTTGACTTTCCAGGTGAGATTAGATTTAGCATTTACCTTAATATAAACAGAAAGTGTGCAGTAGAAAGCACTTAATTAACAAGCAAGTGCTCAAAACCTTGTGCAAGCTGGAGGCTACTTGAAGCTTAAGATAGCTCTCCTCTTTCCAGAGTATTGCAGTATTATCCGGCGGAGTTTCAAAATCCTGATTGTTACTGGGAATCTCATTACTGAAGGAGACAGGAAAGGTAAGTTTCTGTTGCTAAGTCCTTATTTTTTATAAAAGAAAAATCTGATTTTGTTGTTGTTGTTCTGAATGAAAGGAGAGCTGTTAGAGTTAGGGTAGTATGGTTAGGTCGTGGTTGGACTTGATGATCTTTAAGGTCTCTTCCAACCTGAGTGATCCTATGATTCTATGAAAAGCATAGAGATTTTGCACAAAAAAGAAGTTTCAGGAGAGTTTGGGTTTCTGTTTTCTTATAGCTTGCTTCCTTTCGTTAGACTGCCTTTATCCCATATGTTTGAGCATGTGTGTATAATTGTACAGAGATCTACATGCACATGTACCTGTGTCCCTCTGTGTGTGCATACCTGTTCTGTGCATACTGAAATCACAAAGCTATTCCAAGAAGCAAAGGAAGGTAGACCAATATGTATAGCACCCCTTCCTGGTTGAAGAACATTTTCTTTAGTCTTTATCTCAACAGGAAAATCAGTGTGCCTGGATGCCTGTAATATGGGTCAGGTAGGCCCACACTCACTGAACTTCACTGAGGCATACTTGGCTTCCACAGACTGAAAATGACCTGAGTAAGGAGTAGGACTTCTTCAGGTCTCTAAACATGTTGAAGCACTCTGATATAAGGATTCTCAGCTGGTCTAAAATCAGTATGACACTTTCGCTAGTAGGTATTATTATTTAATCCTCATAATGCATACAAAACAAACCAATGTAATTGTTATAGTGTAGCTATTTGATTAAAATAAGTTTGATGTTGTCTTTAGCAGCTGTAACTTGCAAGGATGGCTGAAATACGAAACTTCACGTGGGCAGTGGAAGATATTTTCAAGGAAACTTTTCTCACTTACATGAATGGCTGGAGGAAAAACATGACAGAAGCGGCAAATGAACTGCAAGCCAAGGTTGATGCTGAAAACTTTGACTATGTTATCCTTTATTTGATGGTGATGATTGGAATGTTCTCCTTCATTATTGTGGCGATTCTGGTGAGTACCGTGAAATCTAAGAGGCGAGAACACTCCAAAGACCCTTACCATCAGTACATCGTGGAGGACTGGGGTGAGAAGTATAAAAGCCAGGTTCTGAATCGAGAAGATCTCAAGTGTGTGGTCCATGAAAACTTTGGTGCAAGGGACAAAACAAGCCCCGCATCACCCTGACATTCCAGAAACATCAGCAAAGAGGAAATCATGAAGTCACATTTAGGGAACTCGCTGGAATTACAAATAGCTGAGAAATTGTTCATTAGATTTACACAGGTTGAGCTAGAATGGGCTGCTGAAGAAATCAACATTACTGTTTCCTCTGAGAACTCTGGCGCAGCTGCTTTGAGGAACACCCAAGAAAAATGCACGACTTTGCTCTGCTTTGATATTCTGCTCTTCAGGAATATAAAGTCATGGAGAGAATAACTTGAATTTTTTAGCAATTTTTTGAAATCGAGAAGCAGATCTGGATTACTGAGCAGTAAACTTCAGACGAACAGTAGGAGTTTTCAAGTGTTTAAAAGTCCTGATTCAGATCCCAATGTGTGACATAAACCCATTTAAAATAACAGGAAACTGTACAATAAAATACCAGACCCTCTATCTATTGATTGAACAATGTGTTATGGTATGAATCACAGGACAAGCCTATATCTACACATGTTCAAGTCAATCCAAACTACTATTTTAATGACCTGGCTCCCGTTTCAATTTCATTATTCATTGACTACAAAGAATGATTCATGGCCTTCTGTTTTATCATAAAAGCATAGACAGACTAGCAGTCTCATCTAAGAGTGTCCTGGTTGTCCAGGGCAGCTTTTAGAGTGTCAGTGTCTTTCTTGAAGTCCATAGCTGTCTCTTCTGCTGTTTCTTGGTTTTTCATATTGATCTGTTTATCTGCAATGCAAGCTGGGTGATAGGGATTTCTTGCATTCCTATTAGCCAAGCCCTAGTGTAGATCATCATGCTCCTGCTATATATCTTTCAGAGCAAGGGTTTCTATGACCAGCTATCAAAGCTATTCCATTGTTATGCTTTCTAATGTTTCCCATGTTGGGTACTGGTGTGCACCAGTCAGAAAACAGGTTGTAAAGATGGTTTATCTTCCCTGTGCTGCTAAAGTACCATGATGCTGGCTGTTGGGGAATAATTAGAAGCAAAGCCAGTACTACTTCTAGTATTAAAATGTGTTCCTTTTTGCTCTAAGTTTATCTTCTATTCATATTACCAGACTTAAACTGCTTAAACTTGAAGTTCTCATTCTGGCTGTCAATTGTGTGGGCAAGGAGAAATGATGAAGAAAAGAGCTTATTTTTCTTGGAAGCTTTGGCTTGTTTTGGAGCCTGATCTTGTGGTATGGCACAACAGCTGTTGTTGTGCTCCAGAAGATGCTCATGTTATGGCTCTGTTCCCCTCCAGGTGGAAGGACATTCCTTACTACTTACCCTTGATGACCACAGGCTGTAAGGGCACAGTTAATGTGCCCATTGAGCAGCTAGAGGGACTGGCCATCTGGGCCACATGCTACAGCTGTGCTTCAGCTAGGGAAAGAGCATCTTTTGACAGGGTATGGCAGCAGGGACAGCCACAGTGAACCTTACCAGATGTGCCAACATCATGAACAGCTGCACCTGCTCAGGCTCTGCTCCTCACCAAAAGCGACAGGCAGCTTCCACTGCTGGCTGTGCTCTGATCTGCATGTGGGCAGCTGTGACACTGAAATGGGGATGAGCACCTGAGTTGATTCTGCCCTTGAGACATGTGGGCAATGCCTTAGATCAGGCATGTCCAACCTGTGGCCCAACCCACCCACCCCCTGGCCCATGCCATCATGATGGCAGATCTGGTACACGTTTTGACTACAACAGCAAGCTGTTCATTGCTGCTGAAAACACACAGTTAACGGGAGTGACTGTAACAGTGTTTTGTAGCTGACAATTTATTGAACAGTGTTATTGTACTCTTTGTATCTGTTGTAGTTTCCCTGGAAATAAATTGGAGGCACTACTTTTGGAGTAGCCCAGATAATGTATATGCAGCTCACGACAACTCCATACTCAGTGCAGCCCAGGCAAGCCCAAAAGTTGGCCTAGTTCAGGTGAAAAGAGACAGCCCGCTTAACATACTGTCTTAGAATCATAGAATAGAACCCTAGAATCACTCAGGTTGGAAAAGAGCTTACAGATCATCAGTCCAACCACGACCTAACCATCCTACCCTAACTCTAACAGCCCTCCGCTAAATCATGTCCCTGAGCACCACATCCAATGGTTTTTAAACACTTCCAGGGATGGTGACTCAACCACCTCCCTGGGAAGCCTATTCCAGTGCTTTACAACCCCTTCTGTAAAGAAGTTTTTCCTGATATCCAACCTAAACCTCCCGTGGCTGGAGGTTCCATGTCACATGGGGCGGTGCTGCCTTTGAAGCCGTTGTAGGGAACAGCTGAGGAAGTGAAGGCAAAGCTTTCCACGGGGAACTTCGGAAACTGAACAGCTCGCTAACAATGTACACACCTGAAGCACTCAGTACTATTTAACCAGCCAGCAACGCCGCTTTGGCGTTCCCCAGCAAGCTCGCTACCAGCACACCCAGCCCCGACACGGGGCAAGAGAAGGGGCTGCCGGGCCGAGCCGGACCGGGCGCTGCTGGGAGATGTAGTTCGCCTTGCCTTCCCGCCCACAACAATGGCCGCCCGCTGAGGTAGGGAGACGCGCTGTTGGGCCTTTCCCCACCGCCCTCTCCCGCTTGGCTCCGAGGCGGGCGGGCCGGCAGGGCCGAGTTGCGCGGCGGGCTGGCCGGGGCCCTACGGCGTGATGCGGTACCCCCCCAGCACGGCCCGCGCCGCCGCCGCCCCGCGGCCTGCCCGGCCCCGTGTGGGCCCTGGGGAGCGAGGGGAGCTGCGGGGAGGCACCAGGAGCTGCCCAGCGCTTTTGCAGCCGGGGCTGGGGTGATGATGGTCGCCATCCGAGGTGGAGCCAGCAATGTGCTGTTTGTGTTCTAGTGTGTTGGGTCGGTCAGGGTTTTATCCGGGTGCCACCGCTGATGCATCTGTCTGCTGTGTGCTTTGCTTTGACAGCATTTGGAATGTGCGAGGAGCTGCCAGAGGAATTGTTAATATTTCTGTTGCAGCTTCAACACATAGGTAGGCCTTACGTATCTATGCTTCCATGTGCCTGGTGCTGGTGTTAGTAGTTTGGGAATGGTATGAACTGAGTGATTGCACAGGTCTTCCTACACAAGTAGGATGCAGAGCTGTTGAAGAGAGTCCAAGGAGAGCACAAGGATGTTCAGAGGCCTGGAGTACCTCTTCTGTGAGGAAAGTATTAGGGAGTTGGGCTTGTTTAGCCTGGAGAAGAGAAGGCTCTGGGGAGACCTCATTGCAGCCTTCCAGTGAAGGGAGCTTCAGTGAAGGAAACAGGAGGGAGACTGACTTTTTACATGGCCTGATAGTGATAGGACAAGGGGGAATAGCTTTAAACTAAAAGAGAGGAGATTCAGGTAAGATATCAGGGGGAAGTTCTTTCCTCAAAGGGTGGTGAAGTGCTGGCACAGCTGCCCAGAGAAGCTGTGGTGCTCCATCCCTGGAGGTGCTCAAGGCCAGGTTGGATGGGGTCCTGGGCAGCCTGAGCTGGTGGGGGCAGCCCTGCCCATGAAGGGTAGGCTTTGAGGTTCCTTCCACACCAAGTTTTTCTTTGTTTCTGTGGTGTTTTGGCTTATGGTCTCATGAAAGCTCTAAAGGTCTGACTTTTTTTGACTTATTTTTATGGATATTTTTTATGTATATTATTATTATTAATAATAATAATAATATAATATTATGGATATTTTTATGTATATTTTTATTTTTGACTTTTTTTTTACTGCATCCAATGGCAGTGGTTTGTGATGGATCTTAGCACAGCAGCTCTGGCTCACACATGCTGCAGCTGTGTTTCTCTATAGTTTTTGGGCTGTGCCATATTACTGTTTTTTCCCCTCTGTCCAGTAGTCATCTTTTTCTTGAGGAAGAGGCATGATCATACCTTTGAGGTGCTAAGTGTGATACATGTTGCTACAGGTCAAGTGCAGAGCTAGATCTTCCAGTGACAGTCCAGGTGAGAAGTATGCATTTTGTTTCCTGAAAAATAAGCAGCAATATAAACAGGTGGAATTAAACCCCTTCTGTAGCTCAGAGAATATTCAGCCATCACTCCATTTAAATACCTTGGTAGCTTGCTGCTTTCCAAGGCCTTCCAGCAGGTTACTTTTATAGCGTCTCACAAAGCGGATAAGAAGTGCTTCAAAATCCCCAGTCAATAGAAAAATGTCTCAGGTCCCCTTCTGTAGGGTAGATGGAGTTATTAATGGGTTGACTGAGAGTCTCAGCCAAGACAGCTTGAGTGGGATTGTGAGTTCTCAGTTGCCTGGTAGGAATTTTTTTGAGCATGCAGCCCAGTCAATATTCTGCTGCTGCGTAAGAAAACAATGGCGTTAGTAGCTGGGCTGTGATGTGGTTGCTGTGGTAGAGTACAGCTATAATTCAGTGGTTGAGAGACCTGGATTCAATTCTGTGCTTCACCACTGACTGGGGCCCAGCTCTTCAGTCTGCACGGGGTGGTCTGTGTTGCACAATGTTGTGCAGAGATCTGGGGCTGGCACCATCTAAAAGCTAGCTCAGGGAGTTGCTGCAGCCCTCCTTGGGAGCTCATTAGCCCTGCTGAGGACACAAGCCTCTAGGGCTGTGTTGTGACCCTGACAACCAGCTCTGGATCCAGCAGACCTCACAGCATCCAGAACTGACAGGATCGCTGGTCCAGCACAACACTAAGGTGCAGCACAGGCAAACTCTCTCCTCCCTTTCCCTTCTGCAGTAGTTTGATCTGCTTAATGGAGGTCTGAGTGTAAATAGGGTAGTGATAGTGAAGAAAGCCACAGACGTGTGAGAGTGATGTCATTTTATCCCTGCCCTGCATAGAAGCTTACGAGTGTGTGATGGATAGAACATGACGTCTCTTACAGGGCTTCAGGCAGAGCCTAGTGCTCCTACTTCTTTCTCGCGTGGCTCAGCATGAGATCTTGTTTGAATGAAGGTAACAGTGACCTTCTGTGGGGCCTGCACTCTGCTGTTTGTTAAGGGAGCTTGCATTTTCCTGAGGAACGAACAATGCCTGGCTGTGGATGTTTTGAACTCTTATCTTGGCCTTATCTGCCTCTGAAAAGGCAAACATGAAACTTCAGCTGCTTATTTGCCTGCTTGCTTTTAAGATATCACAACCTTGAAAGTACAGTGCACGAGCTTTTTACTTCTGAATTGGCAACATCAGTGCTAACAAGCATTGTTCTTCTGACGTGAAGTGAATCCTGCCATTTTTTTTCTCCTTGCCCCATGCAGCTCCACCCATTATTTTTTTTCTGTCATGGGATTTCAACTGCCTTCAATAAGGTCTGCATCAGAATGGAGACCAGAAGACTCTAGAGGTGAAATTAAGAGAAGTGCTTGACTGCTGGAGGCTGGTGACATTGGGTGTGGGAATACAGGGAGCAGCAGCTTCCGCTTTTAGTTCCAGTCGTAGAAGTCTCTGTAAGGACAGATCATCAGAAGTATCAGCTCTTGCAGAAAGCATTTTGGACTGAAACACTACAGTTGAGAAAAAAGGAAGAATTTCCTTATTTGCTTTGTGACTTCAATACAGCTACTCCTAGCGGATGCAAATTCAGGCAGATTCATGCTTGTCTCTCAGCAGAGCAGAAATATTGAAGAAGCACTGTGCTGAATGTTTAGGTAATTGACTTGCAAACAAGCATTTGCAGGAGTGCATGCATTGTATGCTGATTCTCACCCTGCAGTCAGACCTCAGATGGGCTCACATGGCATTTGCTCGGTCTGGAACTTTTTCTATACATAAAAATCTCTACGCTCCATTTTGAGCATCATATGCCAGATGCTAGCATGTTTTTGAATTCATGCCTCTTTACAGCATGTCACAAAACTGCTTCCAACTGAAGCACGGAATTTAGAGTAATTTAGGAGAATAATGAAGACTGTATAGTGGTGAAGCCCCCACCAAAGTCGGGATGAGGATACAAACCCCAGTTGGGCAGTTCAGTCCCTCCGTATCAGGCCAGGGTTGTATAACTTGGATTTTGCTGAGAAGTACATGGTTTAGTGGGCGTGGTGGCAATAGGTTGACAGTTAAACTAGATGATCTTAGTGGTCTTTTCCAGCCTTAATGATTCTGTGATTCGATGACTGTACACCAAGAACCACCTCTGATAGGTGATATTGGCTGTGCCCATCTGGCAGGGGTATTTACATTGTAATGTTTGCTGAAATTCTGGAGGAAACATCAGAAGTTATAATGCCTTTCTGGGGGGGATGTGAAACGCTACTGACTTGTTACTTCACAGCTACCCTGGCATTTTATCAACAGGAGAAGGGAGCTACCCAACTAAGGATCAACACAGTAAATACTAGATGATGAGTTGGCTGTATCATTGCTTAGATACAGTTCGATCTTGCTAGCAGCAGCTGACCTCACAGGTTCTGCTGTTCCTGAATCTGTTCCAGTAGGATATAATCCTGGAACGTCCCCGGTGTGTGCAGAGCCATGTAGTATTAAACAAGCTGCCATCACCACCCTGGCTAATACTCCTGTCAGGGCTTCTCTGGGAGGATGGGTCTATGGATAGACAGGAGAGCTTCCCTGAGCAGTTAAGGATGACCAGCTCTCATGCTGGTGCTGGGCCAAGAGAGCCCTGCTGCTGTCATCTTAGCCACGTGCAGTAGCTTGGGCCAGGGGTATGTGTCCTGTGCTCACTATGTCTGCATTCTGGACATGACAAACACTGGGAGGTGTTTTCTTCTCCTTTCTCTCTGCGGGCAATCCGTTGTTTTTTTGTGATCAGAATTTACACTTCTTGCTCAGTGGGTCAGTTGAGTTAAGTAACTTACATGGGATAAGTGGGGAAAAAGGAAAGCATGCCATTCTCAGCCTAGGCAAAGGCAAGGGGTGAAGCACAGGAGCACTGGGAAAGCAGGAGAGCACACCATGCATGGAATCAGTCTGTTCTGACAGACCCTCCCAGTCTCTGCTTGGGGTCTCCTGTGGTGTCCCCCCATGGCAATCCCTTAGGTGGAGAAATGTGGTTAGCTGTGAAGAAGCCATCTGAGCAGCTCAGGAGCAGCAGGAAGATTTATTTGAGTCTGTGTTTTCGTTACGAAGACAAGCCACAAACAGCTGTTGTGGTATGGAGGTGATTTGTTCCGCCCAGCTGCCAGTAAAGGTTTGGACTAAACTGTTGGCCTTCTTCCTTCTCTCCAGCAGTCACTCTGTTGTTACACCTATGGGAGATCCCTCGAGGCAGTCAGGCAGGAAAGTGCTGAATTTGAAATCCACAATTTGAAATCCAGCAGTTGAAACAGCGTCAGTACTGGTGGAGCAGCAGCAGAGACCAAAGGGCAGCATTGCAGCTGTGTGCTTCAGCCTTCAGTATCCCTTGAGCATTTCCAAGTCCCAAAATTCAGTTCTGAAATGTATATTGGCCACCTGCGGGATCTGCGGCTTGGTTGGTTCACTTAGGTGTTATGGGCTGTATAGAAAAATTAATGTGTTAGCAAATGAGAGAAAACTGATGCAAATGATGCTATGTCATAGAATCTCAAAAGGGTTTGGGGTAGAAGGGACCTCAGAGCCTACCCAGCCTCAACCCCAGACCTGGGCAGGGCTGCCCCAGGGCACCATCCAACCTGGTCTTCAGTGCCTCCAGGGAATGGGGAGGATCCATTAGGCATTCAGGCTTTGAACAGGGCGGATAGGCTTGAAATCCACAAGATGGCACTTCTGGGTGCTATTTGTCCACTACATCTGAGATGTCAGTGAGGCAGCTTGGTGTGCACACGTGCCTTTGAAAGCAGCCAGTGCTTCATTTTTGATTGGGCAGCTGCTGAGATCTGCTATGCACAGTGAAAGCACAGCCTCCCCTCTCTGGAAGTATAGCACCTGCCTGGGCCCATCAAACCCCTGTCCTTCAGCAGCACCCTGCATGGATGTTGTTCCTGTCATTCAGCTCCAAAAAGGCACGCATTGGTCATTGCTGAACCCTGTGGCGCAGTATATCCTGCCAGGCACTGAGCTGCAGATGAGACTGCTGGAGAAGTGCGTGGTGAACGTGCTGAATAGAAATAGATGAGCTAATTCTTTTTAAATTTCCATTTCTTCAAGATGCTTCTGTCCTGGATTGTGCCTTTAGAAGTGTGACACTTGTCGGTGCTGGACACAGCCTGCTTCAGAACAGGCATTATCGGCCTTCAGTCAAGATGGTGGCGTTTAACTTGAAGGTGAGGATGTTTCATGGTCATATGAGAGTGAACTTCTGGTCTTTGAAGGAGATGGGTTTAAGATGTGGTTGGGTGAGTCTTGTGTTAAAGTTGCTTCCCTTGTCTAGGTGATGGCTTCACTACCACACTGTACCTCAGGCCCAGAGGGCTTGCAGATTGAGGCCTTGTACGTTGAACCTCTCCTCTGGCTTTCCTCTTTCTAGGCTTTTCTCAGGCTATTCTCTCCTCAGCACCTTTCCTTACCAAAGTGTGGTTTCTCTGCTTTATCTTTTAGGGCGTGAAGGCCATAAGCATAAGTGTACATATGTAAGGCTCAGAAATGTTGGAGCCTTGTTCACTACCAGTTATAACTTGTTCAGTTAGTCTGTTTATCATAAAAGTAGTGCTAACCACAGACCTTGGCTTTGCCTTTCCGCAGAGCAGAGCTGTGGTTTAAAGATATTGCCAGTAAAAATGATGTTTTCTGCAGAATTGGTTTGAAGTGACCAGATGTCAAAGGTAACATGCAGCTTGCATAGAGCAGTGCTATAAGAGCCCACTTGAGGTCTCATTTGCAGACTTTAAGGGGGCATGCTAATGGAGTATGGATGTAAGGCTTTTTTAAATACAGTATTTAAACAATGGGCAAACAACTTTATGAGGTGCTGGAAGGCCTTCTGAGGTTACAGAGGGCTACTGGGATACTTGCTTTGGGAGGACTTAAGCTGTGAACCTACTGTGCATCACTGAAAGGCCAGAATGATCCTGCTGGCTAAGTGGCTCTTTGAAACAGGGTGCTGGGAAGCTTGTGTACCTTCAGTATCCTTCTGAAATTGACATCTCTCACTGAGTGCCTCTGCAGCTTTCATTGTATTTTAGTTCACAGTGTTACCCGTTTGCATTTTATTTTCTGCTCCATACGCACTTAGAGTAGTGTGCTTTTGTAACACTGAAATATGTTGTGCAATTTTATTGGCTTCAGACATTAAAAACTGCTGAAACTGAATCATTGTAGGCTACATCCTTTTTATATCTTTTGTGGTTCAAAGGCAGTCATCTATACTTAATAGTACAGACCTGGGCAAATTGCAGAACTGTCTTGGATTAAAATTTCTAGGTGGACAAAAGTGTATTCAGGCACTGTATCTGATAGCTGATATGCATGCTTCCATCACTCCTATCAAAATTGTTCAGATGCATTTCACCTTTTATAAGCATCTTAAGATACTCAATTCTTTCCCTTTTTCAACTCCAGGTTGTGCCAATATTACATTCACAGTAAAGATGACAAAAGCAAGAAAGACCTGTACAAGGGAGTTTCAAATACAAACTCGAGTACAGTGAATTGCATTTTGGCCTTTTCCCTGGACAATCTGCTTAGTTTAAAATCCCCTGCAGAAAAAAAGTATGAACAGAAGAACATTACCATTGCTTTGAATAATGCCATTGTTGGAAGAAGCTGTATAGCATCCCTGTAGATTAATTTTTAATTGTCCAAGCGTTCCAGTAACCGCTTAAATATATTGTTTTTTATTATAGGCTTTGGAGAATTTCCCATTGCTGATGTACATCTTGGCAGCTAAAACATTGATTCTTTGCTTAGCATTTGCTGGAGTTAAAATGTACCAGAGTAAAAAACTTGAAGAAAAATTGAAGAGGGAACGTGAAGCGAAATTGAAAAGAGAAGCAGAGAAGAAGGGTGATTAAAGGAATCTCTCAGGTATATAACTCATTTGACATTCTGGTATTTCATAGTGGCATTGCCATATTAATCCCATTATATTTTGGCTTCAGTACATTTGGGTTGTGTGGTTAGAAGTGTCGCCATTAGCTGAGTTATTCAGTATGTGTCTCCTGTGATGCTTCACTGTATTTGCACACCCATACCATGCCCATTCTTTGTAAGAAATGAAGTTAGTACCAGACAACTTGTCAGCCACTGTTTGGGGTTTCAGAGATCTTAGCACAATATTCTTTTTCTGTTCTTAATTTCCTTCAATTTTGTACGCCCAACCAGTTGCACAGAAAGTCCTGATACATAAAGAAATCATTAAAGTTGGGCAAAAACTGTGTGAGAGGCATGCCAGACAAGATGATGTAATAAGGTTCCTTGGCCATAAGTCACATTGAAAAGAATCTCCAATTCCATGTTAGTTAAATACATGACAAGTTGCTGATAGTTTAGCTTGAAGGGCCAAACCTCATGCTGTGAAGCTTCCCAAGGTAATAAAACTGCTTCAGGTTATACATCCATCATATATACTTCACTGAAAAAAAGTAGATATCTACATTAAAAAAAAAAAAGCAAAAGGAACATTGAAAGTATAGTAAAGTTTTAGTTTTTCATTTTCATGTACTAAATTCCTTCCCAGTATCTTCAAAGTTTAAGCAATCATTGGATCAAGTCTGTTAGCAAAATGAGTGTGGTCTAGTGCTAAGGTTATACTCCCGGAGTTTTTGGTGTGTGATTTATGTATCAATTCATTTCACATTTCTCTGTTCTGCAGCAAAATGGGAATTCTATTCCTGCCTGCCCTTTGTAAACTCAGTGGGAGTTCGCTATAACAATGTTGCACTTTATTAAACTAGAAAACTAACTTTCTCCTTTTGAGGTCATCACCTCCCATATGAAGATGGTTTCAGTTTTTAGAAATGTTTACTAGTTTTGATTTCAAACCTATCACTTTTGTTTCTTGCAACAGAGATTGGAAATTGTGAATAGAAATGGGGCCGGAAAATAACCATGGGAACAGAGTGTTTCATTCGCACAGGGAAAACAAGAAATACAGAGGTGTTTTTCAGGCTCCTGTTTACATCATGTTGAGTATTTGTGCCTGTGCAGACTTGTGCCGTTTTAAACTTTTATTTTAAATTGGTCCAGGTAGCCACTGGAACATGCTGTGAGAAGACTTCTTTCAGTTTATGCTGAATAGGTCAGAGTAAGTTATATAGAGTTTTAGTGCTAAACAAATGAGAGGTGGGCACAAGGGCAAGCTGCCCTGCAAGTGAGCAAGGCTGCTACTTTTAATGAGCAGACTTTAGTGTGCTCTGTGTTAGGCCCCAGGGAGTTCTGCCTGGCAAAGGCTGTAGCCTGGAGGATTGCTGCACCAGGGTAAGGAGCTCATCCCACAAGACCTCGTGGTCTGGCATGTGAGATTGACCTTGTTGAATGACTGACATAAAAGCAAATCTGACTGAAGTCCTCTTAGTCACCCAGTGTGGCCCACCAGAGGCCAAGTCTTTCCTAAATTCTGCCATTTCTCGGACTGTCAGCACATCTTTCTATAATGGGATTGCAAGAAGGGGTGACTTCTCCTGCCCTAAAAATGTTCTCCCGTGTCAGCACTGCAGAGCTGTGATTAGCTCCGATTGCAGCCTGCCACGTGGGCAGGCAGATTTAGTCCATGTGCTGCTAGCATATCATGCCTGCTGTTCTCACTGCTGTTTCCCCACCCTGCAGATTCTGTGACACTTGGCAGCTTGCTTGGATTCCTTTCCTGGGAGAACGAAGTCTTCCTGTAGATGAAGGATGTGTAGAAGGAATAAAGCCCTCTGGAGTAACATTCACTTAAATTGTATCTCAGCTTTTTGTATGTACAGCAAAATATCTAAGCTTCTATTTATGCAATAAAGAAAACATTTGTAAAAAAAAAAAAAAAAAAATGACCTTGGTTACTGCTTACTTAAATGCTACAGTTAGAGCTGCAGAGGAGGCACTTTTTAAAGATTAGCTGCAAGGAGGAGGCTGATTTTTAAAAAGAAAACACTGAATCCATCATGGGTGTATGCAGGGTTCATGGACAGACAGAAGGAATTGGGGAGGTCCCTGTGCAGCTTTTTCAAGCAACTGCAGGGGTACAGACATGAGGCTTATGGGCTCTCTGTTGAATTCAAATGAAAAAAGCAAAGATATGAACTTCTCAGGGTGGTCTTTTTCAAACCCCTTTCCATACCCAGCACTGACTTCAGTGTAAAGCAAATCATAGCATCGGTATGAAAATCTTTGTGGAAGTTTAATATGAGGAGGTTTCTTGTATTTTGCTTTGTTGTAGAGACCATTACTGGCCATTCCTGCATGTTCAATAACTTGAAGTCTTAAAGAGTAAGCGCTCTCAGTCATGGTAGGTTAATCAACAGAATAGGTGGTTTGCACGTAAACAAACCTTAGGAATGTGCAGCAGTGGTAACAGGTATGTTTACCTTCACATTTCCTTTATAAAGCACTTCTAAATCCTGGTGTTTTCTGGAAGTGAAGGTGAATGTGAAATCTGAGTGGAGTGGAAAGAAGAAGGCAGGAGAAAACTTGGAGAAGGCTTGGGAGCCCAGAGGTTGTGGGAGGCCCCTGGATTGGCTCGCTCCTGCCCTCTCCCTGTGGCTACAGGCTGAGGTGCCTGCTGTGGTCATGTAAGCGTGTACTGCAGTGCGTGTGTCACAAGCATTATGTGGCAATGCGTGCAGCTGATACAGCTAATGCTCAGAGAGCTTTTAGTGCAGTGGAGTTACTCACCATGAACTGTGGTGATCTGTAAAATCTCACTGTCCATGCAGTTGCCTTGGTGACCAGAGAATGTATTACAGAAGCCTGTTCCTGGAAGAGAACGGTATTTTTCCTATGGCAGTTTCAGGACTATGTATCTGACTGGAGAATTCTTAGTGTCGTTGCAAATCTGCTGTTTTCCCTCTACTGTCTCAGCAGTCATCTGTGTATGCAAACACGGAATTGAATAGTAATTTAATTAAATGGCTTTGTGGTGTTCAGTGAGAGCAGACTCTCCTAACAACTTCCATTAAACAGCTATTGAGGGAAACACACCAATAAGTTTAGCTTAGCCACATACCCAGACTGTACGAGGAAACTGTCAGGGCTGCACGGTGTCTACCAGCATGAGAAGTAAGTAATGTGTTGACTCTGTGCAGTCTGGGATTGCCTTAAAGTATTGGCCTCACTTTTGATTTTTTTAGAGTCTCAGCCAATAGTAGATTTCTCTAGACCAATAGTTAGAATGTGTTATTAATTGGAAGTGACGGATTCTCCCTTTCAGTACAGCTACTCTGTAAGCAGAATCAAAAGGACACGATCTCCCATTAAAGCAAGTCATATTGCATCAAAGCAATTGAGCTTCATTTATCACCCAAAGAAATGAAGACTGGTGTTAAAGCCTGAGGGGGACAGAGTTTGCTAAATGTGTGCAAGAAAGCAATTAGCATGAGTAGTCCTTTTTTTGTTCCTGAATTGAACATGGGCAAAAAGCAGCTGTGAGTCTCCTCAGAAGTCCTCTACATCACCAGCTCTTTGCATCTACAGATAGCTCAGAAAAACTCTTTGTATATTTACTTCAAATTTGGTCCAATCTGGCTGTTTTTTCCCTTAGCTTCGGAGTAGCGCTATGGCATAGAAAACCGCTGGGGGTTGTAGCGGGTCTCACAGCAGGCTGATATTCTGGAGGTTCCAAAATACGATACCAAACCTGTTCCCAAATCTGAACCAATTTCTCTTCTTCAGTATATCTGGGTGGATGTTTGATCTATGCTTTGAAGGCTGTCTAGGAAGGAGAACACACCTGTATTTTCCTTCACTGGGTAAGTTGCAGCAGGTCTCTTTACCCTTGGGCATTTTATGTGCCACAGTAGCAGCCTTGAAGACGAAAATATGCTGACACTGGGGGGAGACAGCAGCTCAAATTTGTTTCACTTTTCTGTTCGGAAGAGAGCTGAGGACCTCAAAACCTGTTTCTTTTTTTACTGAAGGAAGAGTTATGTGACTAGTCCAGACCAATTTAAAAGAGGAATAGAGAATTTGATTCTATTGAGTTTCTGCAACTGAGAGGAAGCAGCAAGAAGAGCCTTGAAGTGCACAGCAGGGAATAAACAGGGTTCCCTTGTTCCTAATCCAGAAAGCAAGCCAGGTCACATTCTTTTTGTGCCTACAGAACTACAAATTCACTGCTTCTTTGCCTGTTCCACTAAATTATGCCCTTTTAAAAGGGCACTCATGTTGTACAGACTGGCAACTTAACCTTAGCCAGCAACTCATTTGCACAGGCCTTTGACTGTTGGATGTTGTCACTGTCGCTACTGCCAAGTGTTGAAGATGGCTGAGAAATGGTTTAAACTTCTAGTGTTTGCATCTTTAGGTTTTCTTCTGACATGAAGGCCGTGTGTTTTTAAACAAAAGATGAAATCTTTGCATAGTAATAAAGAAATTTTCAGAATTTTAAGGAAACCTTAAACATGGAACAGATTTTGAGAGGACATAAGTGGCTGCTAGAATAGGGCTCTTCCAGCTTAAGGGAGTAGGGTGGCTGTGGGGTGGCTGTAGTCCTTGAAGTAAGGTGAACAAGTATTCAATGGGACTGTTTTCTTATTACCTACGTTAGACATTCTTTAAAAGTAAGTCAGCTTGATTTTAGTGCCACTTAACACTTTCAGTCTGAAGGCCATGAGTCTTTCACCCAAAATGCAACATCAGTGGTGCTGGGGGAGACAGAGCTTTCTCAAGCAGTGCCCAGGAGCAGGAGAGGTTGCTGTCCTGCTTGCTGTCTAAAAGCAAGGCAAGACTAGGGCTATTTCCTCAGTGTCATGTGGAGTTCCTTGTTTCTGTGTTAGGTCTAGTGGGTACAGCTCATGCACAGTGGCAGAACCTACCATACTGATAAAGCCATACAATGCTTACGTAAAATTTGGCATGCCAACTAAGAAAACTGCACCGATCTCAAGCGATTCTGTTGCAAGTCAGTGAGCTAAATAATTTTCAGGTGTCAGAGTACCAGCTCCAAGAACCTTCTGCTGTATTTCCTTCCTCAGTTTTCCTCTTGGGGATCAGCTATTCCAGCTGTTTTGTATTGCCTTTCTTACTGAAGGCACTGTGAATTCTCTATCTGGCTTTGAATCCTTTGCAGTTTTCCTTGGATCCCAACTTTTGTTTGTGACACACAGACAGTGTCTTTACTAATCTGCTGACTCTCAACCTACCCTGTCCAAAGAGGAGCATTGCTACCCATTCACATCACCCTTTCTAGCTCAAACATGGAAGAAACCTGTAGATTAGGCAGACTGATGCCTCTCTAATTTCACAGAATCCTAGAAAATCTTGGGTTGGAAAGTGACCTTAATCTAGTTCCCCTCCTTGCCACCAGATCAGGCTGCCCATAGGCCCCATCCAACCTGGCCCTGAATGCCTCCGAAGATGGGGATTCAGCCTTCACCAGGCCCAGTTTCACAGCCTCTCCAGACCTGCTTCCAAAGACACATCTGTCATCTACTTGTCGCATCCTCTCCCTACTTATTAACTGCTTACAACCCTCCATCTTCAAGTTTAGGGAGAAGATGATAGAACTCACATAAAGAACCTGATTGCCTTATGGTAGCACGGTGTCTGTCACACTCCTGATCACATGGAAAATAAACCAGGCAGTGTGGCCATGTGAGTGTAAACTCTGCCGCATTCGTGTATGGAGACAGTTCAGATAAAATTTCTGGAACCTGTGTTTACATCCATCTCAGAAAGGTGCCAGAAGCCATTTTCAGATGGGACAGCTATAAGCTGCCACCTGGTTTGGGGACTCAGTGGTGGCTGCATGCTTTGTAACGGTGCACATCATTCCACAGCTTGGCTTTGACTATTTAAGCTGATTCATCTTGGCTACCAAAGCAAGCTCAGTGTACTATCTAGGCTCATCTGGACCTTGACTGGCATATGTGTGTATCAAACTTCTATCATGGGTATAATCAGAGTACCAGCTGCTCCTTTTCCATGTTGTGATAGGGATACCTGATAGCGGCCAGAATAGTTATCCCCATAGTAATGGATTCCTCATATGTTCCTGTAGAGAAAAGAATTGTTTGGGCACAAATAAGTGATTAAGCATGTATTCATGTGCATCTCCATATGGCATCAATTTCTCCCTCTTTGAGTCTGATAAAAGAGCTATTGAAAATGTCTGTGTGTAATATCATCAAAGGCTGTGCCTCTCTTTGAGATTAGTTCCAATCTGACCAAAGACTTTTGAGATGGCTGTCATAGAGCAAAGAATGTACATGGTTGCTTCCTTTTAGTCACTGCAGACACAATATAGATGACTGTCTTTTTTTTACTAATCTTTTTTGTTTTGGCAGGTTTGTTCTGTTTGTATGGCATTTTCCAAGGTCCGTGACTCTTCTGATTTACTATGACTCATATTCCTCTGGCCTTATCACTGATTAGGAGAAGTTTAGTGCTACCCAACTAGAAATGTCAGGCACTGTCAGTTAAGAGGTGTTTAAGTCATATAAATAAGCTTTGTGTGTATTTGTCTTTTAAAGCAGGTTTTTTTTTCCTTGGTTTTTCTTACATGGAATGTTGTCGCTGCATTCTTCCTCCTTTCTTTGTGTCCCACCATTATTACATCCTCCACATGGGCCTCCTTAGACTCTTGGCCTAAAAGCATTTGCCCTGTCAGCGTTCTGGGTTGCAGCATGCTACTAGTACAGTGGACTTATAAAACTGCGTTAAGCTAATCCTTGCAGGCCTGCTTCATAGACTAGAAGAAAATAGATGGTTTTTTTCCATGAAGATGAGTCTTGGAAAAGCATTTAGAAGTAATTAGTCAATGAGACATCATGAAAATGCAGGTGATTTGCATTCCGGCTAGCTCAGAGCAGAGGGACATCTGTTATAGCTTCCTCATCAACACATGCATTTGCATCTGCCTCTCCTCTTTATGCAAAGATACTTTAATCATTTTATTCTAGTGGTGCATTTCAATCAGAGTCAGGAGAGGGAACGAAGACTTTTGTTTTGACATACTGAAACGGTCAAACAAACTGGGCCTCACCACAACAGCTACTGCTAAAAAACCTAATAAAATAATAGCTATTAAAATACTACTGAGATGTTGGGCTCATGTGTACTATTCCAAATGCTTCTGAACATGGTGCATGCTATTTGCTAACATCCTCCTATTAGATTGTTTAGTCATATGTTTTTACTTGTCATCCTAAATTATCAGTTGAGTCAGAACTGCATGAGCCACCATAGTTTTCTTCAGTACAAAGCGCTATGAAGTTTTTTAGAAAACATGGGTTGTAATTACCCTTCTGCAGCAGCAGAGGGGGAGGGAGGAAGAAAGGACTCATCTCAGAGGATTTTATACAAAATACCAAAGTTCATTTAGTTTCAAACTTAGTTCTTTTCCTGCCCACAGGTTTCCATTCCCGTTATATATGACTGAGTAGAAAAGTTTCACCAGCTCTCAGCCTCCCAGGCGAAGGCAGGGAAGAGTGGATGTAGCTTGGGAAGCCTTTCCAGCCCTTACCAGACCTCAGCAGGGAAAGGATTTTTTTCCATTTTTCTCCAGAAGGTAGGCCACCAAACACCTCTTTCCTCATGCTAGTTTCCATTTTACCAATGCTAATGTAGGAAAAACAGATACATTTCTGTGACAGACATCACTTTCTCACCAAACTTCCTTGTTGCTGAAATGGATGGAAAGCGGGTGATTCTGCACCTGGTCCCATGGTCTCCACTGCAAACTACAGATGACAGAAGACACACCCTAGCAGCAAATAAGTTTTGCAATGTGGCTCTGTTGCTTAAGATGGTGGAAGCAGAGACCCATAAGGCTGAGTGGTGGTGAGGTGGCAGTCTGGGACTCTGCTCTGTTCACTTTTGGTCTCACTCTTTTTCATGCAGATCCAGAATGGAACAATGAAGTCATCAGGTTTTTACTGATTTGATGATAGGTGGCATTAGCACACTCTTCTCCACAGCTTCATGCCAATATTATAGTGTGGGGTCATCAGGTGAAGGCAAATAGATCCATTGCGATAATGAGTTGTGCATCATTTGTTTGTTAAGAAAACCAAGCTAGTGTGCGATTGCTGTTCATCCTTGTAGTAAAGAGGGATTGGATCTATTTCTTTTCTCATGATGATTTCACACCACTTTGTGCTCATTGATCTTCAGAGGCACGGTTCCTGCTTCAAGCCAGTATGAAATTATGTTCAGGGCCATGATACCAGCACAATAAAAACATTCCTGCCCCTCCCTAATCTTTTCCTCTTTTCCCCCCTACTCTTTCGTCTCCGCATTTGAAGCACTTAATTTTCCATTCCCTGCAACTTCCATATTTATAAAAATGAGCAGATGTTTTTCCTGATGAACACGAAGTTGAGAAAATACGGTTATTTTCTTTTGTATCTCAGCTTTAGGGAATTATATGCATAGATACTTCTGAAGGTAGATGAGATCCCTCTTTTGAGATATCTCTCTGCCACACCAAATTACAGCGCTAAAAAATTACAATTTAGATGGTTTCCACGCACAGAGAAAAACAGCACAGATTTCCCTCAGTGTACTGAAACGTTTTGGTGAACCTGTGAATCATCTTATAACATTTTTCTCATGTTCTCATGATTTTCACTTTCTGTCGTTAAAATACAAAATACAAACACACAAAGTAATGGGCTACATGGAGAAAGTAAATTGGGAGGTGCTTTACAGAAACGAGAAAGTGCTCCATGACCTTGAAAAGGAACACATTTAAAACATGACTGCGTCATTCATAAGTAAACTTTTGAACTTGACTCTGAAAGAAATCTTTACATCTCAGTGCCCAACAGGATTCAAACAAGAGTGAATCGATGTCAGGAGTAAAGAAAATCTCCAGTGATGAATGCTGTGTTTTATTCTGAAACTCTTCATACTTTAAAGCCTGAACCAACAACTGAGGCAGTTCCCTTTTAAAAAAGATTAGATGTCACTGGGACGTTTATTGCAGAATGTTGTTAGAAGCAAGGCACCAGACATAATGAATTAATGAGCTGATAACAGGTGAATGTCTGTATTATGGGAAAGTCTCATAAACCTTCCATTATCTGTGGTCTCTGCCTCAGTCGCAGTTCAGCATATATTGCTCAGGAGCAACACTTCCATGTGTGTCAAAGATGAATCTGACATGCAGAATTAATTTTGCAGTATAAACTTTCTCAGAATGGAGGAGATTCACATCTGTGGCATGGTCTTATGATTCCTATGACAGAGGACTGGGCCTTACGCATGCTTTTGTCCATTTTCTTGGAGGAAAAGGATCTAGAGGTGTTGATACCTGTCTGAATATGAGCAAGCAGACTGGCCAAGAAAACTGGTGGCATCCTGGCTTGTATCAGAAATAATTCAGTCAGCAGGAGCAGGGAGGTGATGGGAGGTGGCTGAGGGAATTGGGTTGTTCAGTCTGGAGGAGAGAAGACTCAGAGGAAACCTAATATCTCCTTACAATCACCTGAAAAGAGACAGTGTTGAGGCAGGTGTTGGCCTCTTCTCCCAGGTAACAGCAACAGGATGAGAGGGAATGGCCTCAAGTTGCACCAAGGGAAGTTCATGTTGGAACAATTTTTTCTCAGAAGGAGTGGTGAGGCACTGGACCATCACTGTCCCTGGAAGCGTTCAAGAACCATGTGGATGCGGCACTAAGGGACATGGTCAGTGGGTATGGTGGGGATAGGTTGCTAGTCGGAATATGTGATCTCAGAGGTCTTTTCCAACCTTAATGGTTCTATGATTCTGTGATTTTTTTTTTTTTGCAGTAAGAGAAATTAACTGTCACTTCCTGGTGCAAGTATAGCACATATCAGCCTAGTCTTGGAAAACATCTGGAATGTGATATTCAGATTTAAAATGATCTCTTTTATTAGTACAATTGACATTGCTTTTGAAGTATATATCCTTTGAACAAAAGGGATCACCAGAATAGGAACCTGTATCAAAGCACATCTGAGGCCTGAAAATAGGAAGAACCATTTAAGAAAATGAGTCGAGGTAGTAGTTTTCCCATTTCTTCACTTTGTTAATCGCTATTTTCCATTTGTTTGGGGTCATCTTCTCTATTCCTTTAATAATCAGATCATTGAAGAGGATACATCTGTAGGAATGGGTATTCTCAACAGACCTCAGGGCAAAGTCCTTCCTGTTGTTTATAATAAACCATTTCAGAGAAGACCAGGCAACATCCATTGGATAGAGGTAGGTGTAAGATGGAGGCACAGCAAGAAGCTCATGGCCATTCGCTCTAGCAGTCTCAGGGCAACACTTGATGCTGGACATGTAGATTACTGGCGGGACTGAAGGCAACAATCCCATCTCCTGCTCCTTGCTGTTTTTCGCCCCTACACCTGTCAGCTGCCTTTTATCTCTTGTCACAATTATGCATTTCCCATAGGACATGGTCAGAGAATCACACAACTCCTGGAAGGCACCATTCTGTTTCTGAGTGGGCTGCAGTTCATTTCTTAACAGCAGTTTGTACCTCCATGGCACCCACCCTCGGCTGCTGCCAGCATGAACAAGAGTCCATACTGGCCAATGTAGGCTGGCCTCCTCAGCTATTTTTTCTCCTGTTATAAGACTTTCTGGAATATCTGTTTCCCCTAAGAAGATAGTGTTGAAACCATTACGCTGCAGTGCCCTCAGAGTTCTTAAATACTGCAAGCACTGTGTCTTTGAAGCATCATCAAAGCATCCCCTAGGAATTATGTGCCTGAGAAGCGGGTTTGCAAAGCGCTGCATGTTGGCTTCTAAAGGGATACAGGAGTTGGAAGCTGCTGAGCTCACATTGTGTGTGGTTGCCCTAGTGGTGCCTGTGATGTCACACCTATCCGGAAGCAACTGTGGGGCTTCCAGATGGCTGACCATAAGGCCACTGTCTTGTAGGCAACAGGCAGAAGTGTGCCTGGAGCCCAACACTGCAGCTGTCCATGGGAGGTTCACCATGGTCAACCTGCACATCTTCAGGCTTTGAAGGGGGAAGAAATTATCGATGCCTCAGACACCACTTCAGGGTGATGTATTTTTAGAACTAATCTGGTTTTTAGAGTCTTTTCACCTTCTCATTTAGTGCACAAAGGTGGGGAGTGAGCAAATGGCAAGTGGTGTTCAGCTGCCTGCTGGGTTCAACCACAACAAAGATGAATGGTTTACCCCAAGAAAGAAGCATGTATGATTTAACTGTTAATCAGATGCAGAATGATGGCAATGCCAGACTGCAAACATATGAAAAACCCACTAGAATCTACGATTCATATTCACATGAGAATACACTACAAAATAATATTGATTTATCTTTATTAGTATTTCACACCATGATATAATTTTCTCCTAATGAATCAGGAGTGTATGCCCCATCCCTGGAGAAGTTCAAGGCCAGGTTGGATGGAGCCCTGAGCAACCTGGCCTAGTATTAAATGGGGAGGTTGGTGGCCCTGCCTGTGGCAGTGGGGTTGGAGATTCATGATCCTTGAGGTCCCTTCCAACACTGGCCATGCTGTGATTCTGTGATTCTGTGACACGAGTAGTTCCTACTGGAATTATTGGTTCCTTGTGCCATTCTGTAATTTTCTTTTGTGCCTATGACCAGCAATCCATCCATGACACCCACTGGAACTGCAGATCATATCTCTTGTTGCCAAAATAGGTCCTTAATGGAAGGTTCCTTCTGTCCTCTCCAGAGAGGATTTACTGAATTGTGAATGAGTTGGAGACTGCCATCCTTGAGATAGGCTCATAAAAAGGGTGTTTCCCTTTTGTTTCTCTTGCTTTTTAATTACCTTCTGATTGTCAGTAGATATCAGTAGAAAACAGGGCAGGGGAGTAATGGTGGTAGCATCTGAACAGAATCCCCAGGGGCCAGAGTGAGGTAATCCTCCTCTCCACTCTCACCTCTCACCAAGCTTGTCCATTAGGCCTCCAGGCCACACCAGGCTCTTCCACACTGCCCACCTTATCCACCTGAGGCCCATCCCAACTCCAGTCAAGGGTAAGAAGCACTAGTCTACTGCTGTCCCCAGTGGGCTCCCCAGGGAATGCAAACTGTGGTGCCCAACTGATTTGCATTCTCTGGGGCTGATGAGTGATGCAAAGCAATGAAAGCTGCAGCCATCAGGAGGCTTGTTTAAAAAGCACAGTCCTCCTCTCAACTGGACCATACGTGTAGGTATAACTGCAGCTTGCCTGGGAAAACTGGGTTTGATCTTCCTCAGATTAGGCTCCCCACAGTAAACAGTCCTGAAAGTGTTCCTCCAGCTCTCCAGACTCTTGTATTTTTGCACTATCAGGTCAAAAGCGAAGGGACAAAGGTTATTTTTGTTTTCATGTGACAATGAAAGGACTTAGCAGGATGGATGAAGGAGCCACATATCAGCCTTTCTGCTTAGGAGGATGGGCAAGGTCCATGCCTTTGCCTTTTGTTGCTGCCCCAGAAGGACACTGTGTCCCTCCCAGCCTGTCAGGTGGCACCATCATGCCTGTGACTCTGTTGAGCCCTGTTTCCATCAGCCCTCACAAACTGGTCTGTGCCTTAGTGGTTAA